AAGTGGAGAAGGACCTGGCTTCACTTGGAATATCTAATTGGCGCCACGTAGCGAAAAGAAGAAACGACTGGCGCGCTGTTGTTAACTCGGCTATAGTCGCGTAAGCGGTGACTACTCCAATCAAGAAGAAGAAGAAGATGCTAAAGTGGAATTTATTGAAAAATAAAAAAGTTCGCAAAAAAGCAATCGCGACAAATTAATTGCAAAATTGAAAATGTGGGCTGAGCGACATAAGATCACAAGAAACTGCTTCGATGATTTGTTAAAAATATTGCAGTAGGAGAATATTTCTTTACCAACAAATTCGAAAGGAGTTTTAAGATAAGTGACCTTCATATTGAGAACTGTTGAGCCAATAAATTGTTTAGACATGCCAGCAAGCAGCTAAGGAGTGTCGCAATAACGTTGATAAATTTGAAATCGCTTGTGGTCTATATTGGCAAAATTGCATCAAAAAAGAAATACGAAGGTGATGTTAATTGGTGTTTTTGAAGGCAAACAGAAACCGGCAGACGGGAATAATTATTTACACGATTTTGCTTATTAGTTAAAAACCTTAATGCAATACGGAATGCAAGCAAATTGTGCATGACTATTGTGAATTGGCGCATCTTATGCATTCATTCTTAACAAAAAACTGTAACAAATCTCTATAATTTAAATAGAAACTATAATATCTATTTAAAATTTGCCTTCCTCAACAATTTAGGGGCGTAATATGTCTTTATGTAAAATGACAGCTAAAATAGGGTTGCAAGTATGTTTTTAAGTGTCATTGCACGAAAATAAACATGGGTTTTGATCTGACATATTTGCAGCCTTTGCAAATAGTTTCTGCGTGTGTTTATTGCTGTGTTGTTGCATCAGTACATTGTCGGAAAATCTTCGAACTGATGACCTTGGAGTTATAAGAAAAATGCTAAAATGCCTAATTAATGATTCGAATGTGGGATATAAGTTGACACAGCAACAGAAAAATATTCTCTTGAAAACTTTGGTATCGTACATACCTTAGAAACCCAACGTATTTGTCCGAAAACCATGAAGCTTAGATGAAATTGCGTGATGGAAAGCAATAGAGTTCCAACAGTTTGTACTTTACACAATAAAAACCATTAGTTCCAAGCATAAGTATAAGATTAATAAATGAAGAATGCACCTCGACCCTAGGTCTCCTTACAGTGGTGGATTTATCAGCAGGCTGGAGCCTAGAGCGGCAGATTTTAGGGGGCGGCAAAACATTTCATTTTGTCTTACAGAAATTAAATAAAATTGTATACCYACACAAAGAGATTTGACCCATTTATTAAATTAAATACGTATATTATATTTAACGTGTAATATGTTTCAAAATTTAAATATTTACTACTAGGTATGAATGTATTTGGGTACTTAGTTGTTTTTGCGTTGCTGCGCGGGAACGAATGATATGACCGTTCGCTAAGAGTGTCTGGCTGGCTGAACGAATTGACARCACGAACCACAAGCGAGCGCGYTCGGTTCGCGTCGCGATCGTGTTGCCGCGTGCGGGAGACGATGTAGGCGGATCTGTTTTCTGAGCTGGAAACAAAACACAATCAGGGTGCTGTCAACCAGCAGTTAGTGAAAAAGGTGGGATGCCAGAAAAACAGCGTTATAATTACTTGACGAAATTAGGGTGAAATGAACTGTGCGAATATATTTTGGCAAAATAAATGTTTATGTAAATTAATTAATGATTTTGCATTGTAGAATTTATATATGTATGCATTTTCAAAGTGTTTAATTTAGTGTGTTGTATAATTTATTAAATTCCCAAGYTAATATTTTTCAGCAGTGGCATCATTGACAAATGTTATGAAAGTTTTGACAGCTCTCTCTCGAACCCAAGAGTCTCGTATCAAGTTATCTATGGCGKCATAGGCATTGAGTTCGAGAACGAGAGAGATAGATATAGAGCGGCAATACATACGGGGATTTTCTTCAAAACAAAAGCAAATCAAAAGTGACATTGGTCGATTGCGTCCTGCAGTTTCTAATAACTTCTTACGTATTAACCGTTATTCACCGGCACAATTTTCTGTGGTTGTGTGCTTTAATTTTTCAGACTGTTTAGTGGATTGTATGAATAGATAATTTTTAAAACATCACATCACCAGTGCAGTAAGGTAAGAAATTCCTATGTATGACAATAAATCATCAGCAACGAATTAGTAATTCAACATGATTCTGTTTTGGAAGGCTTGCATGGAAATTCACTTTTTTTGTTTTATTATACTTAAATGTCGATGGTTAAGTACCAAACACTGCTATCTACGAAACAAAACGGTTTTTTTGTAGATAGCAGTGCTTATAATATTAGGTAAGTAGTCGTGGTCTGAAGTCCGAACAAAGGACTTTATTTACGCACAAGAAATAAAACTCCCAATGTAACGCACGGACACCAACTGCAATGATACCCCGATATAAAAATGTGCTGGATTTGTTGTAATTGGTAATACTAAAAATTAAATTCATTCCAACCTATGGATGCATACATATATCATGTTTCCGCACATGTATATATGTACATACTATATATACCATTTAGGAAGTCAAATCATCACTGTTCATGTATATCCTACTAGCGGATGCCTATTGCGCAATGGACGACGTAGCTGGAACCATCACAACTTAGCAATTGGACTAGTTTCTATAGCAGGCATTTTAATCGTGGCTCTGATCGACCGGAACAAGGTGGACAGATCACAGAGGAAAAATAGAATGACCCGGGCACCCATATTCAAACTTTCGATGATTCCAGTTAGTTCAATGGATTAAAAATTTTCAAATGTAAAACAATTCTTACTGTCATGAGTAAAGAAAGCCGGTCTGAAATTAAGGTACAACTGGCGAATGCCCTGCCGCTTCTCTGTAGACAAAATCCTGATGTGTCGACGGAAGATTGAAATTAATGGACCGAATTTGACTTCCGTCGATTCCGATATTAAAGATTCTGATATCTCGTAAGCTAAACACGGAGGATGCATTGCGGTTTCTCAGGAAACAAAATTTCGATGTTTCGACGGAAGATTGGAGGGTGCTGAATGTCACAAACTCCGGCAGGGAGGATGGCAGCCAAACCTAAATCCTCCAAAGCCGGCCGGGGAAATACTATACAAACGGATCAGGAAGATAGTGGGGAACGTAGGTAGCGTATATCTTCTCATCAAGAAGCACAACCAACATGATAACAATGAAAACATGCTAGTGGAGCGGGAGGTGGAAAGGATCTACAAGCTAAAAAAACAAACATAATGAAAACGCTACTTCTTGCATTTCGTTACATGCCTCATGATAGTTAGGTGGCAACGGTAGAACTCCGGACGTTGGTGGACGTTTCGTATAAATCCAAAAAACCCTTGGAAGTAGGCGCAGACGTCACCACACAGTATGTTGTAGCGGAGATAGCAACGAAATGAATGACTACAAAATGTGGAGAGTGGACTGGATGCAGTAAGGAATCATTGGTAGAACTGGTCAACATGCGTTTTCTAGAATGTACAGACACTATAGATCTTCAATCTGTAGGAGCGCATATGATACTTTCCCACAGATATCAAACTGTTTAAGTCCCCTGTTATGGACTGTATTTTTGCATTGTTGAACGTATCAAAAACGCTGATTCCTTAACTAATCAGAATATACGAAGAATGTTTCATAGCTAACTACGTACATATTCTTTGGAGAGAGACGAAAATCATTTCAATCTGAAGACATTTGAAAAAAATTTGGATGCCTATACAAGAGAAAAGCTTTAAGCGAGCAACAAGTCGAAAGCACAGCATGCCTGTACAAAAGTTATATTGAATTCCGTCAATTAAAAAGAGCCACGTATAACCATCTATCACGAAATAGGCCGCTTCTTTACTGAATACCTCCTTAAATGTGCATTTCAGGGATTGTAGCATCACGCCACATAATATATATGCACATATTTATATCTATGTGTATACTAAACTACTAGTTTACGAATACAATACAAGGCTAAAAGCTTGTGTCCTTCAATCATATTGACTGATATTGCTTTGTGTCCTTACTAATTATGGGCAGGACTGCATTTTACAGACCTTAAATCTTGAACCCTCGCGGTTCAGTAATTCTTCTGTAGGACCTGTTAGGCGGCATAACTTCTGCACCGGTCGCTGACACCGCTGCTTAATAGGAAGTCCATTTGATGATGTCTGGTTGGTATTGTACTGTATGGTCACGGTACGTACCAGGCCATCACTATCCGGGTGAACGTCAATCACCTGTCCTACACGCCAAACCGATGGTGGCAAATTTTCACCACGTATAATAACTACATCTCCAGGCTGAACATTGGGTTCCGATCTAGTCCATTTGTTCCGTGTCTTAAGAGTATTTAGATATTCGGATAGCCAGTGGCGCCAAAAATGCTCCAACATTTTCTGGAGGCGTTGCCAATATCGAAGACGATTTTCTGGAGCTTCAGGCAATGGATAATTGAGTGGTCGTCCGATCAGAACGTCCCCGATGTTACCTTCTGAATCATCGTAGAGAGCTATCAGTTGTTTCGAATTTAGATACGCCTCGATGCGAGTAAGGAGAGTCGACAATTCGGTGTAACGCATCGTCTGACTAACATGACCCTCAGCAGATGTTTTTAGCTGACCGAACTGCTGCCTCGCATAGACCACCATTATGAGGGGCGGAAGGTGTTATGAACTTCCAACATGTACCTTCAGCTGCCAGCGGCCAGAGCTATCCAAGCCTTTAAGTCTTCCCGCATTTGACGATTGAGTGGCATTATCACTGTATAAGGTAGTACAGATACTCCGTCGACTTATGAAACGATCGTAAGCATCTATTAATGCCTGTGTACTCAAGTCCTCTGCCAGCTCAATGTGTACCGCTCGTGACGCCATGCAAGTAAATATGGCAGCATAAGTTTTTGTAGTCGGGGTGGCGTGATGCGTTCCCACACGAACATGGAATGGCTCGCAGTAATCCAAGCCACTAAGAGAGAATGGAGAGAATGGTTGGCTTTCGCTGATGTCATAATCGACTGGTAATTAGCTCTAGAAACTAAGATGGAGATCACACGAGATTCGGCAATGGAGAGGTGCTCCTCGTCTTCCGTTAAAGAAGGTAAATGCATTTTCCCCAAGACTTGGTAAATGCACGTCGGTCCGGTCCACCAAAGATGATGATATGCTAAGACGGCGGGAGATAGGCCTCTGCTTGCAATCGGCTGGATTTGATTCCGAGCAAATGTGCTTCCAAGCGTTGATGTCTGAATTGGCTTGGATGTAAGCTACCCGATTGGATACATATTGTTGGTGGTTTGCGTATCCAGCATAAAACAAAAGTGGAATCACTCCAATATGTACATGGGGCGCCCTGTAGGCCCAAGGCTTGACGCCATCCATCGCCTTGGTTAGAAGATGAGCACCACATAGTTCTAGGCGTGGTATCGTCACATCCTTAATTGGTGCTATCTTCGTCTTCGCTGAAAGAAGAGCTGCGTGAGACGTTCCACCTTTATCGATCGCTTGAACATATATGACTGCTGCATACGCTTTACGACTAGCATCGCAAAAACCGTGTAAATGCACCGAAGAGACCACTCGTATACCTGGCCAACGAGGAATATCTTGTAAACTGTTGCAGAATATCACCCATGAACTAAGTAGCTCTGGAGGAAGTTCAGCATCCCATGGCAGATCAGCCTTAAATAACTCCTGTATGAATAGCTTGGCCACCACGACTACGGGTGTCAATACCGCAGTTAGATCATATAATTTCGCCATGTCGCTCAAAACCTTTCGCTTGGTATGCATTGACGTGGCGTCAACTAAGCATACTTTGGAGAAGGGTTCGTCGCTCACTGGATCCCAGTAAAGACCCAATACCTTTGTTGTTGAGGTGTTCAACTTTAGTTCTGATGCAGAAACTGTTGTACCGGTTATCGCAGATAATACGTGCAAAGAAATGGAATTCCACTTTCCCTATATTAATTGTCCTTGTTTCAAAATAGTCGTTACATCTAGCTAGCACGGGTAATACCAAGTTCATCGCTGTCGACACTATCCAAATAGTTATCAACGTCGAAATTATAAAGTATGCTATGACGGCTTGGGTCATAGATGACTTCATAATTGTCATTCGCACATTGGCGCAGTGCGCGTATTGCGTTGAATGGACTACAAGCCATTCCATAAGTTACCGTCTTCAGTTCGTACACTTGAAGGGGTTCATTTGGTGATTCACGACAAAGTATTTGTTGACATTTACGATGTCGTCTATCTACCAGTATTTGTCGAATTTATGCGAAACTTTTTGGTTACGGCATGATGAGGTATGAAGTAACCATCTTCTTTGTCGGTGAAAGCTGGCTTGCTAACCTCCATGTGATCGACAGCAATGTATTCTCGCACAAATGCGATGTACTGCTCACGAAGACATGGGTGGTTCATCAACCGCCGCTCGAGTTGTAGAAACTGGCGGACAGCCAATTGATGAGATTCTCCAAGAGCAGGAGCATCTGGACGAAATAATATTTGCACCTGGTACCTCCTAAGATCTCTTAGAGATCGATAATACTTGGGGTGTAGGGGTGGGGATGAACATATCGAGGGAAGGGCTGCCCTTAAGCAGCATTGTCACCGGTTCGTCCACCGATTGTCCGTGTGAATGGGGTCAGCATCAGATATGTGACGCAAGTCAAATATCTGGGGTTGACTATGAGTGAAAGGATGTGTTTTACTCCACACTTGGCACATGTGAAGGAGCGACTGCAGGCAACTGTAGGCAAAATACGCCGCATTTTGAGGAGCGATTRGGGTCKCGGACGTCGTGCTGTCCGCACCATATATCGTGGCTTGTTTGTGGCCTGTGCCACATATGGAGCCCCTGTATGGTGGGAGGAAGCCACGACTGTCTGGGAGTCTCAAAAACTTCTCCAGCGTTGTATGATACTTGCTTGTTTGCCTGTATGTCGCACCCTCTCAACGGATGCGATGCTGGTTTTACTAGGTGCACCCCCTCTTGTCCTGATTGTCATACAGCGTGCTGTTGCATTCAGGTTAAGAAGGGGTTTGAGTGTGTCATTGCTGCGGAACGATTTGATTCCGACGACGATGTGGAGAGGGAGCGATATCTAGGGATCAAGAGGCTCTTAGATGATAGGGTTAGGCGTAGGTGCCAAGAACGTTGGGACAATAGTCCTAACGGCCGAGTGACGTACGAGTACGGGCCGTTGGGTTCGTTGAGGATAACCCGGACTTCAGATTTTGTCTGAGGCTGGGTTTCCTCCTTACGGGGCATGGGCTTCTAAATGCATTTTTGCATCAGAGGCAACTATCAGGTACGTCGGGGTGTTTTTGTGGGGCGGGGTTGGAAAATTGGTCGCATTTAATTGCGGAGTGCCCGATGTACTCGGACATTAGGGATCTGGGTGGTATGGGGATTAGCTGGACTGATGTTGACATATTGAAGAAGTCGCATAACAGGGATTCGCTTTGTCTGAAACATCGTTTCGTATCGAATGGTCCGATCCTGACAGAGCTTTTGGTGCTGCTCAATGTCAGTTTACACAGCCATATTAGTTCTGCGGTGATACCAAGTCCAGGCATAAAAGCAGCTCCTTTTCGTGCTGTCGAAAGCAGCTTTGAAATCGACGAAGAGGTGTTATGTGGATTCTCCTTTCACTTCTCTTTTCCAAGTTTGCATGGTGAATATCTGGTCGGTTACTGATTTTCCAGGCCTAAAGCCTCACTGATAAGGTCCAATCAGTTTGCTGACGGTGAACTTTAATCTTTCACCCAATACGCTCGATAAAATCTTATACGCCATGTTTAGGGGACTTATCCCACGGTAGTTGGCGCAGATTGTGAGGTCTCATATTTGTGGATTGGGCAAAGCACACTTAAATTCCAATGTTGTTGTTGTTGTAACGGCAGAATTGTGCTGAGTTGACAGTGCCTGGCCGGATAAAAATCCGGGTCCGTTCCGGTTTCGTAGACGCGACTGTCGTGAGAACGACTTAAATTCCAATCGTTGGGCATGCTTTCATCCAACCATATTTTACAAAGAAGCTGAGGCAGGCTCCTTATCAGATCTTCGCCGCCGTGTTTGAATACTTCTTCATGGTCGGGCAATGGAACGTCTGCTAAAGCGTCATTGATTGGGGAATCGTTCGCCTTCTCCTGTCGTTATACTTTCACTGCCATTCAGCAGGCTGCAAAAGTGCTCCCTCCATAATTTTAGTATGCTCTGGGCATCAGTCACTAGATCCCTCTGTGGGTTCTAAAAGAGTTTGCTCCGATCTTGAATCCTTCTGTTAGTCGCATCTTTTCGTGTAATTTTTGAGCATTAACCCTGTCGGCCAGCTTTCCGGACTCACGCCTCTCCTCTTTTTGTCTGCAAATGTGCCTCGCTTTATCCCATCCCGCACGTGTTGTGGTCGATAGTAACGTTGCGAGGTAGGCAGTCTGCTTTCTTTCCACTGAGCCCACTGTTCCCTTATGCCGAGTTGTTGACGAGTGCTCTCAGAGAGCAGGAGTGCAAGTCGAGTAGGAACCCGTTCGGCTGTCTTTTCTCAGCTCTCGAAGTCGAACCCTTCCTCTGCTTGTTGACGTACTTTTTTTGCTGCATAGAGGCGAATCTTCGTTACAACAAGGTAGTGGTCTGAGTCAATGTTGGGACCTTGGAGGATACGCAAGTCTAAAACACTGGAAACGTGTCTTTCTGTCTTTTCGATCCAGAGATAGTCAGGTAACTTGGTGGATTATTCTATGGTAGGACCTAGTACTACAGATAACTTTATTTTGGGTCCCATCGAAGTCGATCAGCTTCCACCCATTTGGGGATGTTTAATTGTGGAGGCTGAATTTACCGACCTTAGTGCCCAAGATACCTTCTTTGCCAACCTTGTCGTTAAAATCGCCAGGCACGATTTTGACATCGTGGCGGGGGCAGCTGTCTAAGGTGCGCTCCAAGCGCTCATGCAAGCAGTAGACCTTTTTGGTCACATCGTTCTTCTTTTCTATCGGGACGTGATCACGAATCAGTGATATGTGGAAGAACTTCGCTCTTATGCGGATTGTGGTTAGACGTTCATCAAGAGAGTGAATGATAGTACTTGGCGGAGTCTCTTTCCCACCACTAATTCGACTCCAAATGTGCGCTCTTTTATATGGCCACTGTAGTAAATGCCACAAGGACCTACTCGTCTCAGTCCTTGCACCATCCATCGCATTTCTTGAACGGCGTCAACCAGCTGGGCAGCGACGCCTTCCCAATTAAGGGACCGGAAATTCCAGGTGCATACCCTCAAATCGTAATCCTTAAATCGTTTGCCATAGTCAAAAGGTTGAGATTTTTTAGGTAGCGGGAATTGAGCCATATGTAAAAGAATCGTTTCTTGCCACTCCCAAGTGAATGGCGATCAGAGAACTTTCCTCACTTGCGTGAACTTCTACACATGACTCCATCCTCCACCTTTGTCACCGACTACGTCCATAGTAATCGATGGGTTGACTTCATCGACGTAATTATGGTTAGTGGTTAATTGCTTACCAGAGAAGAAAAGTTCACATGTGCACATTATCAAACTTACTTACTTCGAGTCCGTTGCAGTTGAACTACTTTCTTTTGCGTAAGCGAAGCTTTTGTGATCATGGTTTTTAGGGAACAAAGA